TGAGTGTTTTAGAAATGCATACATGTTGGGCAAAGTGTATGGCAGCATTGTACATCAACTTTGTTCTTCTGTTCTTTCCTGGTAAAAACAAGTGTTTTACTCTTGATAACCTTCCTTCTGTTATTTTTTTTCCTGATAGTTTCCTTTTTTTCTTTAATAGCTCTCTTTTCCTGTGCCTGCAATAGTTGTGTGTGTGGTTTGGGTGGTATTTTGGGTTTGTATGGCCAGGTTTTGTAGTGGGGGGACTACAGGGTTAGCACTAGGTATAGCTTTTGTGAGAAGCTGCCAGAAGCTTCCCCCATCTTGGGTAGAGCCAATGCCAGCTGGCTCCAAGATGGACATGCTGCTGGCCAAGGCTGAGCCAATTGGGAGTGATAGCATATCTGAAAAGGAGAGAAAAGTTACTGCAAAGTTTTAATTGTGGCCAGAGAAGAGCAGGGTGAGAACATGTCAGAGGAACAGCCCTGCAGACACCAAGGTCAGTGGAGAAGGAGGAAGAGGAGGAGGAGGGGAAGGAGGTGCTTCAGATGCCAGAGCTGAGATTCCCTTGCAGACCATGGTGAAGCAGCTGTGCCCCTGCAGCCCGTGGAGGACCATGGGGATGCAAAGATCTACCTGCAGGCCCTGGAGAAGACCCTCACCAGTGCAGGTGAATGCCAAAGAGCATTCTGTGAACCTGTAGGAGGCCCGTGCTGGAGCAGGTTTCCTCGTAGGACTTGTGGACCCACACTGGAATAGGCTGTTCTTGAAGGACAGCACCCTGTGGAAGAGTAAATCACACTGGAGAAGTTTGCAGAGAACTGTCTGTGTGTGAGGAGCCCCACAGTGGAGCAGAGGAAGGACTCTTCTCCCTGAGCAGTGGCAGAAACAACATGTGATGAACTGACCATAACCCCCATTCTCTCTCTCCCTGTGCCAAAGTGGGTGTGTGGCTGACCATAGACATTGCTTTTTATCTGTCTTGGTGTCCTGCATCTGTGTTTTGCAAAATATGTAGTTCTACCTGAAGGTTCATTATTATTTCTGTAACTCTTGCTTAAGAGCATGCTAAAATCATGGATGTCTTTTAATTGTTCCCCAAGGCCTCTGACTCTTGTTTTTGGAGAAGTTTCCACTTTGTGTTGGTTCAATCACCTTGCACATAGGTGTTACTGAAATTTGTAGAAGAAGGTAGCAGATTTGGTGAGGGAGCTTAGTTTAAGCTCTGTTTATTACTTATATTAATATTGGTGGTTTGAGAGCAGGATGCCAAAGTATTTGTGGTGGAGGAGATAAAACTCATGTCCTGCAGTTCTGGCTACCGTGTCTGGGTACAGCCATAGCTGGGAACCAGGTGCTGCAGCACTGCGTGATGCTGGCTGCCTGCCTCTGTGGTGTGCCAGTCTCACGCCAACTAAAAGCGGGGAGCATTGGAAGTCAGGAGCTGTGTCCTTATATGACACTGGGAGTCAGGGAACAGGAACAAAATCCAGGTTGCTGGCAACACATATGATGTTTTTTCCCTATAATGGCTTTCAAAAGTATAGTTATAGAAGCTTTTTAAAAGCTTAAAATAAAGGGTGGTATCTGTCCCTCCCTAGTAAACTTGATCAGTACCTTTGCCTTGTCAAAACTGCAATATAAGCAATCCTTGAAGTCCAGGAAATGACGAGGTAAGGGCCAGTACAGATCTTAATATGATCTTAGTTCTGCCAAGGAACTGATTATACTCATTGGAACAGCTCAGTAACATTATTTATAATAAACAAGTATAAAAAATTGAGAAAGTATATTTTTGTTTGCATTTTCAGCTTTTCTTGTATATGCTCTGGCCTTGAGTAGCTGGGAAATACTTTTGCAAAGGAAAGCATAGCTGTTATCTCACAGCAAATGCTGCCTTTGGGAGCAAATGTACCTTTTATAAGGGTGGGATTTGTTAGGCTGCAATGTTTATAACAAACAAAGTTTCTTCCCACATGCATTGCCAGTGATGTGATGAGATGTGATGTGACAGTCAGTTGTTTGTGGGTGCAATGAGATATCACAGAATGGAGGAATCCTCAGATCAAAGGGGGAAGATTTGTAACATTTAGTGCAGCTGAGAACATTTTAAAATGTACAGCAGGAACATTTGCTGTAGCTCATTTGCTTTAGATGACTAACACAAAATTGGATGTGGCCCATGGTGACTGTGCTTTCTTCCTAGGGGGGTTTGTAGTGTTCATAACATGGAAATAAAAGGTTCTCAAACAATGTTTCAGCTGCACTTTGAGGCTTATATTACCTTAACCTCGTATTTCCAATTTAAATTGTGAGGATTTTTCTACCCTTCACATTTCTGAAGTATGTTCCCCTGTTTACTATAAGATCTTCTGTCACTTCATATATTAATTACATTGAGTAAATATTTTTGCAGTACTGTCATGCAACAAATTTTCTTTATTCGGGCAGGGAAGGCATATGTGTAGGAGTCTAGCAATATGACCTTCCCCTGTGATGCAGAGGACCCAGATTTTAATTTCTTCAGCATGAAAGACAAGAACAGGCATACTGTTGAAATCAGGGTTAATTTTGTGTTCATCTACTACTCTATCTCAGGCAAGGCCAGTACTAGATGAATAAGGTATAAACAGCTCAGCCATAGTACTTTGGTCTTTCCAGCTTTTTCCTGACTGCTTCTTTATGTTAAGTAATGCTTGATGTGCTTTTCTTACATAAATTCTTTTAATGGGAGATCAGATCTGTCATGTGTCAGAAGGTAGACCCAATTCCTTTCATATAATAAAAAGGGAAATATGTATGCAAGGCTGCAGCTGGTAGCATTCAGAGGCTGATCCCAGGCTGGCTTGGCAGCTGCTTCTACCTCTTCAGACATGAGCTCAGGTCTCCATTGCTTCCTGGGGCATGGGGACTGCAAGTGAATGATAAATCTAACAAGGAGTATGATGGGTGGTTTCTATAAGAAATGGTGTGACTTCAGGAGAGGATTCATAGTTGAAAAGTCTGAAAAACAAAAGATACCTTTCCTAAAGCCTGAAGGTAATCCAATACTACAGTTACACCTTCCACTGACTGTCACTTACCTCAGTATTTTATGTGGAGCTTGTTCAAAGGAGCATTGTGGGAAGAGGTGAATCCCAGTGAGGTTCTGGAAGCTGCAACCTCGCAGTCTCTCTGTGAGTTAAGCTGTCAGTGGTTTACTTTCCTTTCATTGTGTCGGTTCCATTTTCTCTGAGGTGGGTGAAAACTCTGCAGGGAAACAGAGCCCTTTCCAATACTGAACATTGTCTGAAACAATCTCAGATTCATTATACAAGTGCAACATGGCTTCCCTGACCTGTGGTGGCTGTCCTGGGAGATTGCCTACAGGTTGTCTAGCAGCAGATGCCCAGCTGCCTATGACCGTTTCTTTTCTAGTCCCTCACATCACTAGGCACAGCTAGAATTAAACCCTTAATAATGTTTTCATTATTGCATTTCCAGTGAGACACTGGGTGTGAGCAAATTGCAGAGTAAGCTGAGCCAGTAAAAGAGTTCTGAAATACTTGCAGAATCACCTGAGCTCCCTGGGATTTGCTGGGTCTGGGAAGCACTTGATAATGTTAGCTTAAAGCCTTTCCTCCCCTGCAATGCTCTGCTTTCTTCCTTTTGTCACACAACCTTCCCCTGCTATCTCTACAAAAAGGCTTTCATGCAATCTGGCCCGTCAGCTGTTGCTTTTGTGCATTGTGCTGGATCTGGGATAAAGCGTAAGCTCTTCAATTATAATGATGCACAGTGTGGCCTGAATGCTGATGGTGCTCTGGCTAAGAATAAGGCAACCAAACAAACTCACAATTAACAATAACTAAGCAGATATGAGAACAGTGAGTTCCTAGAAGTAGTTGCATTTTTAAAGATTTTCCTTTTCTCTTGCCTTTCAAAGCCGCTCACCTCGGTATTTTCACTAAGGAAGACTGCATGGTTAGGAAACAGACTCCTGTGTAGACTTCAGTATTACAAGATTTGTCTTCAAAAAGCCAATTAGTGCTTGAAGTAGAAGCTAATCTACTTCACAAGTGTAATTTCCATCTTTTGCCTTACAATCAGCAACAAGCAACCACACTGCTGATCACTTTCAGAAAGAGCAAGAACTGGTCTGTTTCTGTACATCTTTTCTGTGTGTTTCTATTTCTAGAGGTTTTTTCCACTAACCTAGCATGTGTCAGTGTGACCACTGTGTGAAGACAGAACAATCTGCTGCAGCAGAGCTCCTTCAGGGAGATAGCTTAATGAGCCCTAGGATGAGTTCTTAAGTAAAGGAGGTGAGAAACTGTAGAACAGAGCATAGAAAAGAAAGATGTGACCCCTCTTTGGAAAGAGCAATATTACTTATCTTGTAGAGGGGAGCAATTCTATTACACATTGCAAGCATAAATAGAAAGCAATTCTATTGTGCATTTTGAGCCACAAGTTGAGCATCTATCCCGATTTTCCCCTCTGTAATGAGCAATTAGAAATCAAACTCACGTGGGTCTCTCAAATACGGAACACAAAAGCCCCACCCATGCTGTAATCACCATGGTGCTGACAGAACCTCCTCAGTTCAGATCAGTATTAAGACCACGTCCATCCTCTTGAGAAATGTTTTGTACATTAGTTTGCGTGGGTTTTACCCAATACCCTCTTGGTTTAGGCATGAATTAGCAAGGCAGTGCCTCACTGTGAAGAAATGCAACGTGTCCTCTGTCTGGCAGTTCTGTTTTCAATGCTTTTTAGAACTGACTGGAGGTATTAGTATGAGCACTAAGAATCTTTACTTATAGCAGCATATGTATCAATTTTGAGAAGGGCCAAAAGCTGCAGTTAAGGCACCGTGTGATGTAAAAATTAAGATAATCCAGCTCTGGCTGTAATGAGCACGCTGTCAAGTTGTATCAGCCTTTGGAAGCAGAGGGCAGGAGAAAATAGAAAATTAGGGCCATCGAGCTGAAAACAAAAGTCAGTGCATGGATTGACCTCTGTGTGTTCTTCATTGACAGGTTGATGACGCCTGGAAGTGAAATTCGGTTTGTCCACAAGCACATGGGCCTGGTGCCAGGCTGGGGCGGCGGTGCCCGGCTGGTGCGGATCGTGGGCAGCGGCGCAGCCCTGCAGCTGCTGGGCGGGGCTGTGCGGGTGGACCCCGAGAGGGCTCGCAGCCTCGGGCTCTGCGAGGAGACGCTGCCGTCCTCGGACGAAAGCGGAGCGCTGGGAGAGGCGCGGGCCTGGCTGAGTCAGTACACGGAGGGTCCGACCGCTGTGATCCGGGCTGTGAAAAAGGTGGTGACAGCAGGAAGAGAGCTCCCACTGGAAGCTGCCCTAAGGACAGAGAAGGACATTTTTGGGACTGTATGGGGTGGGCCTGCCAATTTACAGGCTTTAGTTAGAAGACCAAAACATAAATGATGGTTTATGCATAAGAATTAGGCTTGACCTTTTTGCAGACAAAGCTTTCAGTAAGGCAGCCATTAAACTGAATCATTTAAGGACTTGTCCATTTAAAATGGCATTAACATTCCTGCCATTTAGGTCAGGCAGGCATATCTGGTGTGCAACCACAGAGAAATCCCGGGCATATTCTCTACTGTCCTAATCACCCACTGAATCGAGATTAGTGAAATTAGTATGTAAAGGTAAATACTGTGCTGAAAATAGAACTATAATTCATTTGGAATGAGGCTGAAGACTGTTTTATTTGGTGTTTTGTTTTGATTTTTTTAAACTAGTATGGAAATTAATTACTTGAAAGTTACGAGGCTTATTCATTTGCAGAACAGGTGCATCTAGAGCTGCAACATGTGAGTTCCCCAACATGACACTGGTGTCTTTAAGCAGCTTGGAAAAGATAAAAGCTATCCTCCCACTAGTAATTATTTTTTCATTCTAGTTAGTTCTTTGTGTAATTGCTGAGAAAGTATCCTTCAGTTTTAATGCTGCTTTTACAGAAGCTTTGAGTTAGTAAGAAGCTTCTAGCACTCATTTACTATCACTGATTCAGGTTTTTAAATTTATTTTGGTGTCTTCTCACTGCTCAAGGAATCAACTACCCACACATGCATCTGCACATTCCCATATCGTGTACCTGCACAAAGCTGCTGGCCTGGTTCTTTACACAGAATCTAATTGAAATCTTGGAAGGCCATGATCATGCCCCTAAATGTTCTTAGGCAACTGGGTGATGTGAGTACTTCAGCATTCTGGTAAGATGTGAGTGGCTATGTCTATGTCTTTCTTCAATGCATTTTTACTGGTAGGGTACATTTGGACTGACTAGAAGGTTTGGAACTCAGTCTCCACTTCATGCCAGTGATTATGCAAGTAATTGGATAACTCAGTGGGGAAAGTTTTCCCTTTAGAAATTAGAAACTGACACAGAGCGCCTGCTTTAAAAATAAACATCTGTGAGAGCAAAACCATACAGACGCATCTGTGACTGAGAGTTTCCTGTACTGTTGGTTAGGATGCACTTGTCTCTAAATCCAGCAAGGACTGAGATCTGAGCCAAGGATCTAAGTACTCTGTGGAGGCATGTAAAGAAGGAAGCTCTGGGCTGTGTGCCACTGCCGTGCATTCTTACTCTGACCGGGATAACTAGCTCGAGATCATGGAACAAGCTCCCTTAAGAAAAGAAGGCAGTATCATGGATGGAAATCATGTTATGATTTCTAGAGTGTGGCAGGAGTCCTGAGTTTTAGACAGCGAGGTAACTACGTATATTTGAGGACTCGAGGACAAATCAATGTTGGGAATTGGGCTTGGATTGCCAGTTAAGATTCTGCAGGTTTTGAGCAGATTCTGTGATCTGCTGGGGATGTTTTACTGTATAGTTTTCACAGCAATGAATATAGCCTGAAGCAACCAAGAGGTGCTGAGGAAAGGGATGTGTTGTGAGTTGGTATCTCAGAGAAGATAAGGAACTTACCTCCACTCTGTTGATCCTGCACCTTTGCCTTAATATTTGAAGCACTAATGGAGGAAGATTTCAAATCTCTCTTCCCCAAAAATAAAGTTTAATTTTTCCTTTCCGGTTAGAGAAGAGACAGGAATGAGAACATGGGGAAGATAGTAGTGTTTTGATTTGTGCCTTTCTCCTCCCAGCTCTTTTTTTATCCAGTAGCCCAGTTCTTATTCCTGGGTAGCTGGATTCTCTCCCATACCCTAAAGAACTTCAAACCCGTTACTTCACAAGTGTGAATGCTTTAGTATAATCAGGCAGCACTTGACTGTTTAGTGAAGCTGTTCTGCTTTTCATGAAGTTTCTCAAGGCTCATGAGGGATTCCAGGCTGCAGCATCACAGAACCTTCAAGGCACACTCCAGTCCATACTCATCCAGCTTTTTGAAGCAATAGCACACGTTGTTGTGAGTCAAAAAAACATTACGTTTTAAAGGGCAACTGGTTATGTCTTTGCTTTTAGCAAGAATTAATGTGCCATTACTAATAGTTTTTGTTTTCAAAATTGGTGTGAAAATTACTTAGATCCTGAGTACGACACTTGAATCTTTTTTTCTTTAGTTTATTAGGCTCCTAAGTGTATTCTGTGTACTGGGTTATAGAAATTTGAGAGGGAAGAAATTGTAGGACAAAGGCAGAATCTGGTTTCTTTCACATTTTGAAACAGATCTGTGCTGGCAGTTAGTGAATGGTAAGTACACCTGTGGGGGATGTCTTTTCATTTTGATTTATAGACAATGACTTAATTCTCATTTCAGCAAATATATTTCCTCAGCCACCCTTTCTGATTTGTATCAAAGGCCAATGTTTGCTTCTAGGAAAACAGGGCAAATAATTAACTAGTACACACCAAGACACATTCAGAACTGTCTCATAGAGGGTTATGGAAATCGATTTTGTTGCTATCATAAATATACCAAAAGCACAGGTACAGGACATTCTGAAGATCATTACAGGTTTTGATCAAGGATATTGTGAGTAGTCTAATACCATATTGTCTGGTTTATTTTCTTCCAAAAGTAAGTAGAGTCCTTAATATAAAAACCAGCCCAGCTAAATTACCAGAGTACTAGGATGAGAGTTCCAGACTAAGATGAAATAGAATCCCATTTTACCCATTTGAAAGCTAAATTCTTTATTTCACAGAATACTTTCTTATCATCTTAAAGTGACAAATACCTTTAACTAGCAGTTGATAAATGTTTGTATTTTCTGTACAATTATTAAAGATGTAAAGCTCCATCTCAGGTTTTTTTTCCCCTTCTGAAATGGCTTAAAAGCAAACAAGCACTAAATGCACCAAACAAATTAGAAACATCAAAATTGATAGTCCCAGGCTCCTAATTAAATAGCATGCCAGCTTTTGTACTTCCTAGGGGCTAGTTTGCCAGCTCCCTCCTCAGCAAACTAAGTTTCCTGTTACATTGTGAAATGCCTTTTTTTCCTCTATGTAGTGGGACAACCTAAGGGTTTAATGGGAGTGTGGATTCTGTAGCAAGCTTGTAAAGGTTGGATACTGGATATCACTTTCAGCAATACAGACACTTCTATCTTATTTGCTGCTGATAGAAATGTATTTACCAGATGGTCAACCCCTAGATAAGCAAGGTGTTCTTGCAGAATGCTTGGTTCCCTATCTGATTTATATTTTTTAGCCGTGAAATAGGATTCTTGTGTCTGTGGTTATCTATTATGGAAATTATGAGATGCTGTAGATTTTATAGGATTTAAATTTTCTTTTCATTTTCCCTTCTGCTCCACTGTGCATTTCTCTAGCTATGCTGTACAAGTTGAAAATCAGTATATGGAATTACAATCAACCACATAATGCAGTGTGGCTGTGGCTTTGCTAAAAATGCACAGAGGACATATTTCCTACTGAAAGTAATGGTTTAAATATAAGATGGGAATTATCAGTTACTATTTTTCCCTACCTTGACCTGTGGAGTGCATTTGCTACTGATGGCTGGTTATTAAGCTCTCACTAGCCTTACTTTAATAATTTTAGTGTTTCACAGTTGCAGTTAGCCAGCAAGAGCCAGGAGCCAAAAGCAGCATCACAGGTGTGGGGCTGAACTCTCCACTTGGGTCAAAAACCCTAAGGGATAATTACTGGTAGAATTATTTGTAGACTGTTTGGGCTGCAAATCCTAAAATTAAGTATATAGTGATATTTCTAGCTTTTTCAACCCATATTCTCACATGAAGTGTGTGCACATAGCTGAAGTGTTCTTAGTGAAGGCTTTTGCAGCACAAAATCATACTTTGACTAGAACCACTGTATAATAACTAAAACCAGAGAAATAAGATAGCTAGCAACTAACAGAGAAAGAAACATTCCTTCATGAAGTCCGTGTAATTAGCTTATTTCCTTATGGGACTGGAAGATGACTGTGAAAAATCTGTGATCAAGAGCACCTATTCCTAGCTGAGAACAAAGGAAATATTTCTTATTCCATCCTAGTCTCATCTGCACTTTCCTGACCCACTGATTTCACCTGTAGGCAGAGGGGGGGGGGACACAGCTTTGTCAGAGATCAGACATGTCATCCATTATTACAGTAAGAAGAACATTATAGAAGTTTAAATCTACCATTTTTAAAAGTCATCCCTTTTAATTCCCTTCAAATGATTGTTTGCTTAAAGCAACTTTTGTCTTAAGATCAGTAGTACCTATGTATCAGCTACAGTCCCTTTCTATTCTGAGCTACCTATATTAAGAATTGGAGTTTAAATAGCCTTATTTTAAAGACTGAGTCCAGAATCAACTAATGTTGCTTCTCAATCTGAAAAAAAATGTAAAAGAAAAGAACTTCCAGAGAGATAAAAGACAAGCTGTGTTTCTCAAGATCTGGCTTTAACACTCAGAAGTCTGTAGAAGTGCAGCTCCTACATGCTAATACAAGCACAAAACTACCCTTTCTGTGCTGCTACCAGTTTTGCTATGAACAGATGAACAGAACTATAGTCCTTAATATCCATGTTCTTTGTTTTAAGGTCAACTTTGATAACTTACACTCTTATTTCAACATTTCTGCTGTTAAAATAAGGCTGTGTGTGATACTTCTGCCTGCCAACAGTGAAGTGAGTTAATCAGCTCTTCAGATGTCTGAGTATTAAGCTTGCAACTCATGATTTTTCAGTAAAAGATGATACTCCTACAGCATTGTGTCTGAGAGACAGCCAGTCAAAGATGCAAGAACGTCAGGATGCCACTCAGAACTAGTCCTCCCTTTTGGTAAACACAGGAAATTGTTTTATGATAATTTTATTTGAAATTCCTTCAGTGAAGTTCAATTAAACTGGAAACATATCTGAGATTGTTACTGATAAAATGTAGTTTTATTAAATTATAAATTCTGTAACAAAAACAAGACAGATCAAGAAAGATCTCAAAAAACAAAACTACAAGGACTAAGATGGCAAAGCCAGTGAAAAAGCCATGAAGAGTGTAAAGGTAAGGATTTGCAACACAAGTTAACAGCATTTTTACATTTCCATTGAAAGAAGGTAAATGATTGCTCTTGTCTAGTAAAAACACATTTTAACTCCAAACTCACATCTATTTTCTCACATTAAATTAAGCATCCTGCTCGCACCCAACACCTTGCCTGATTCCACATAGCATTAGTGTTCTTTTCGTACATCAATCCATGCAGAAAGTAGTAAGACACTTAATGCAACAGTCAGATAATGAAGACAATTCAAGTTGTACAGTAGATATACATTGGCCAAAAAGGGATAGAGTATCTTCAAGGGAAAAATGCTACAAAATAAACACAAGACATTTTCAAGAAAACTGGGCATTGCTAAACAGTTTTCAAACCATTACCACGACAACCCAGTTTCCTAGAGTTGGAGTCTTCCAGCTGAGACATGTTAAGAGACTTAAGTTAAAACAGGCCACATCTGTTTTCTCCCCTTCACCCCACCCTCCCACCAAACACACTGCTAGGTTTGAGTGCAATGCCAATGTGGACAGAAAATTTACAGAAAATTACAACAGAGTATTTTTTTTTTTGCATGGCTCTGGATTTAAACTTCAGTGACTGTGCACTGTCCATCTGGCCTTCTAGATCTTACACTTGTGTTTGCAACCCCACCCCCTGCCCCTGGTCTATCTGCTCCTGCCTGGCTTGCACCAGCATTCAAGTGTCTCTGCTGACCAGAGGACGAGTATTGCTGAAGGTGGGCAGACACATCCTCACTGTCACTGCTGGCATCCGATTCGGTCTCCTCAACAGAGGTGTCAGGAGCTGGCACCCTACCCGAAGATGATGATTCATGGTCTTCTTCTCCCTCTCCCCTGTGACTCCTTTCAGCCATACTGTCTCCATTTATTTGCAACTGGGCAAAAGAGTTCTCTAGAGAATTGCTTGCATCAGGTGACGGCGTTGAAGGGCTCACGAGCTGACCATCTAGTGCTGGTAGGGGCCTCACAGAAATGGATGCTAGAGGCTGCACAGCTGCAGCCCCTGGAGTCAGTGTGCTGTCTGCACCATCAGCAGAGCTTTCTCGTGTCAGATTGACAGTGTTGGTGTCACAGTCCAGCCTCAGCCCAGCCACTCCCTTCTTTGGTATATCTATTATGTCTCGTTTTATTTTTCTGCGACGTCCATGCTCATTTCTCCTATACTGAACCATATTTTCAAGGTCTGCTACGTATAAAAAACCAGCAATTAGCATTTCAGTGCTCTTTTTACCCTTGGAAAAGGCATCTTCCAGCTCTCTGCTGGTACGTTCATCATACTGCCACCAGCCATTTCTACCTTCATAGTACCAAGCATATTCTCCATTGCCTCTGCTTGCTGCTTTGAGTTCTTCGGGTGACAGTAAGGTTGGCTTGTCAAGAAAATCCTCGGGAATCTCCTGCCGGCAGAGTGCACATCGTTTCCCAAGCCAAGAAGCTCCCTTAACACACAGATAGCAGAAAACATGTTTACAGGGCAGACTTACAGGATGGACACACGTTTGCAGACAGATAGCACATTCAGGGACTTGCAGGGAAGGTGCTGCATTGGTACATGACTCATTTGTCTTCCTATTTGTGGGAAGCATGTTGATCGAATGATCTACTTCACCACAGCCAGCCATCCTGCAGAGGATCAAAGAAACTTACATCAGTTTATTATGTCAACTTAAACTAGCATCTCGCATCACATTTCACCTCAACATTCACACAATGAGATATTTACTTCAAATTAAGGTAAGTTACTCTTTCCTGAGGTGACAGACTACATTGAGTACTGGGAAGATTTCTTTTGCTGATCACCAACCTTTTATCCGTTTAATTTTCAGCACGTTAATACCAAGTTAGAAAACAAATTTTGGAATTTCCTCTGTTCATTCCCTGAGTAGAACTGATTAATGAACCTCAGCCAATCAGTTACTTTGTTGCCTCCTCAGGCAATTGAAAGAAATTATGGTTCTTTCCTCAAGAGGTGAATCGAACTTAAACAATCTCTCTTCAGACTACAGGTGATCATCTGTTTGATACTGCCTGAACAGTATATCAGATTAGGTTTACACAACAGAAAATACACCTGACAGCAGCACCTAGCTGAAGAATTCCCCCACTCTGTTTCTTAGCTCCCCTGCACCATGGTACACTACCCTCAAATTGAGATCAGAACAACCACAGGGCTGCAGAAAGAATCAGATTTGAAAACTGAGGTATCTTTTCAAAAGATACCTTGGACTCCTTTTTCTTAAACATCAAGTGAACTCCCTGATACATGCGAGTGCCTCTCAAAAAGAATCACTGCAGACCAGCAGAAGCAGCAGTGTACTGCAGAAGACATACAGTTCTGACTTGACTGACTCGTGAAGTCATTACCTTTACTTTCTCTGACCATATCTTATTTCTGTTATTAAAAATGATTTTGTAACTGTAAGAGAATGGGGAATGCAAAACTGCATCACTTTGGTGTTGTGTAGGATTTAAGTAGTTGAAAAATTCTAGCCTAAATATGCAAATGCCTTCTCAACTACATTTTTGCCATGGCAATCTTTCATGGTCTGTTTCATGGTAATTTTTCTTTTATTTATTAACAATCAAAATCAAATACCAGATACCAACTAAGGGAGGAGAATGGGCTCTGGGGAATGGGGCCTAAAAAGGTGCCTTTTTTATTTAAAGTCCCCAACAAACTCCAAGACTGATATCCAACAAAACAGCCTTTAGGTAGAAGTAGTCTTTCTTGTACAGGCAGCTAGGAATAGTTCATGCAAAACTACAACAAATATGTGGGCCAAAAGGGACCTTTAGCGGTCACCTAGTCTAATCTCCTGCTCCACCACCAACACCAATACTAGACTAGACTAGCTGTGGCTTTGTCTAGCTGAGTTTTTCTGAAACCTGCAAGGATTGAAACACCACAGGCTCCCTGGACAGCCTGTTCCAATGTTATACACATTTCTAACAAAATGTGTTACCTCAAGACAAAATACAGTATTACTGTAAAAGCTTCCACTGTTTTAAAAATCTTATAAATATATGCTGGGATTAAAAAAAATTATGCTTCAGTACCTACATTTATCTTTACAATAATATATCATGTGCTGTTTACTTAAAATGTTTTTCTCTATGCTGTCTGTTCCCTTCTATCACTAAAATCTCCTCTTCAAAGACCAATGCCTCTTTAATCCTTTTTTTAATCAAATATTTCTTTTAAAAGCTCTACAGCTCAAATACTTTTTCCTGAAGTAGCACAAAATTGTATCCACCTATGTTTCAGTTTCATATTTGAATTTCTTTTTCTGAGATTAATGACCAATCTGCATTACAGTTCTTAAATCAGCACATCAGATACAGACATAGCATTACCTACCAGCTGGCAACTGTGATTTTACTGCCCAGCACACATCTGTGAGATCCATTCTAACAATGCTGTGAACAAGTTGCTTTTTGGAAGCCTCAAACTTCTGAGGCTGTATTTTGTGACAGATTTTTATAGCAAATGTAGGGGTTCATACCAAGAAACTTATTAGAAAAAGGGGAGAAGAAAGCATATTGAGATTTCAGAATACCCACAAACACAATCCAACCATCATTTCACAACAGAAGAGATGAAAGAGAAATCCATTTATTGATTAATTTGTGCTAACCATGGCTGAGGTAAAGGATCTTAACTTACAAGTGCCTCGACAGTGAGATAATACAGTGCAAAAAAGCACAGCAGAGATTTTTACTTCCATACTACAGTTTTACAAAGGGATGCTTCTCCCTGAATATCCTTTATAAAATTATCCTTTTCAGAGTCAAAGAAAAGATTAAAACAACCTGTAGGTAAGTTCTATACAAATCACCTATCATAATTAAGATTTTAGAGGTGATTAAAATGCAATGCAGGGATTAAAAAAGGCAATGCACTTTGACAAACCAAACTGTGATGCCGTGAGCTAAACTAAAGAGAGTTTACCTTGAGGTAAACTAAAAGAAGAATTAAAAATTCTCACCTGTTCACTAAGAGCAAAAAATGCTAACATTTGAACTGTGCTCAATAAGTCACCCATTAATGTGAAGGATCTTTGATTCCTTACTAGATTAAGATAATAATGCAGGATATGAAAAGGAGTAAATGCTTTTTCTTGAAATTCCTATTGATTTTTAATGACTCAAAGGAAAATGTTATGTATAAAATGCATAGAGCTGGAGGAGCAAACCCTTATCTCCAAAAGTGCTACCCAGAAACATAAAACTCTGATACGATAAGCACAACTGCAGTTGCATGTGCTCAGAATGCAGGACAATTACGCACTTGAAGATTTATATCCACTACACGGATGCTGTCTCACTTTTTGTTTTTAAATCATGATGCTAATTAATCTTTTTTTTTTAATTTATCTTTTTAATACCAAATCGAGGTCAGAGTTTGTTTATAAGTTGGTAGGAGGAGGTACATGTAGGTTTTTACTGAAGAGGTAATCTTCAAGGACAAACATCTCGGACTGCAATTCTGCTATGTTATGGCTGTGGAAGCACTTCCACTACAACTTCATGGTATTAATAATTGAACAAAACTGACCACACAGTATTTTTCCTGAAATTAAAAGTAGTATTTTAGAACAAGGTTCAATCAAAGCAGGCTTTGTATCACAACTGTTATCAAATAGGAAAGCTTTATTTTTTGGGGGACTGGGTTCCTTTTAAGACACTCCTGGCATCACGGAAAATCATATTCTTGACTACTGACTACTTGACTAAAAATTAACTAAACTCAAGGAATAATTCTAAAAATAATTTTATTTTAAGTATTTAAATCCTCAATTCAGGTATAAATAAGGGAACAATAAGAACCTGAACTCTGCATTTTAACATAAACACAGCCTAAAACCCACTGAGACGGAATTAGTCCGAAATCTTGTGAGATCCTACCTCTTGTGGTTTTTATTTTTAATAATAAAAAATATAGTTAATTTCTAAGTTATGGGGCCTTCATCAATACATGAAGTATGGAAGAGGTGATGTGTAACAATTACATGAAAAGATTCCAGGCCTTCTTGGACTCTAATGGAAGAAAATGTAAATTCAAACAAAGAAACTTCAAATTCCAGGTCAAATTATAACTGCAAATAAGCAGTCCATCGAGGAACTGACATGTTTAAGTTCATTAACAGAACAATAGCTTACTTTTTCTGAATAATTTCTACTGAAGCATGCCACAAGACTGAAATGTCCTCTCTTCAGACGTCTCCAGCTAGGATGGCAGGTCCTCCTTCCCAAGACTGGCTCATTCCTGGCTTGTCCTGCTCAGTGGTACATTACAGCGTTTCAGCTTCTCTGCAAACTAACAAAAAGCAAATAATACCACCATTACAAAGCTGTCCAGAGGTATGAGCAAGCTAAGTACAATGCCATGGTTCTGTTACAGAAAAGAAATTACTATGCTTTTATTTACTTGATGAATGTTATTTTCAACACAACTATCACCGGATTTCTGTTTCATTTTTTGTAACCATCAATTTTGATCCAATTTTTATTCTGATGTCTGGCTTAAACAAATCATCTTTTTTAAAGCATAATAAAAGGCAATTATTTTTGATTCTAGTAAGTTAATTGCTCATTTTCATACAGTGACCTCACAAAAGGAGTAGCACAAAAGGAGAAACAAGACCAAAGTTGGGAGCATGTTACATATAGGCCTCATACCAGCTTATAAACAAACTCTATGACCTATATTTGATACTCATCAAAGTAAACAAAGAGCAACAAAAATTAATTAGGACCTTCCTCTATTTCTTTAAAATGTCCTGATGGGCTCCAAGGTTCAACAATGGAAAGAGTGCATAGGATCTCTAAAAAAAGAGTAGAAGGATGCAACTCAGCCTCCACACCTCAGAGGTAATATACTCCTCTTCAGGCTAGCAGATAATGTCACAATATATCTGGTGAATGCCACCAACCAGAATCGGAACCTAGGCATTTCACAAATATGTAATAATCACTAAGTGCCTAATAAATACCTAAAAAATTCCTACAGCAGGGAAGTAGGAATCTGCAAACTCAGAAAGGGAAGGGAGACCATCACTCTTGCATTCTCACAACCTAAACAGGAAGATCTTGACCTAAGAGAACCACCTTCAGTGAATCCTCTGTAAAAAGCCAGATGAGCCACAGAATCACCTCTTCCTTCTGATCTGTAGCTTTCTGAATGATTCTCAAACATCTTGAACTACAGTTTCCAGCTGCTGCAAAACATTATATATAGGAATGATTTGAAGCAGACCTAAGAACATCACCTCTTTGATTTCAATTTGTTCAAGGAAAGAATCATTTCAGCATATACATAGAGTGCAAAGCAGACATGTAAGAGTTGAGTAAAGTCAAGGAGTGATAAGTCTCTGAAAGAACATGAAGCATTATTGTGTTCTGTGCTACAGTCCTTCATCAAATGACCATTTATCATTAATAATATCAGAGTGTCCAGATTACTTCAGTGCATGAAGCGTTACTCAAATATGTTATCTTCTTTATAGCTGAGCTCCGTATAACATTCTGTACAGCTATTTTTAGAATGAGCTCCAAAAGAAAAATGCAAAAATTAACAAGCCTATCCACACCTTTTCTCTCCTCATAATTCTAGCAGCTTTTCTTTTTTTACACATCAATCTGAAAGCAGGAGTGGCAATCGCGTTAGAATTGTGGCTCTACTAATCCACTGAGACAAGATACTATGTTTTCTATGATCAAAGAGACAGCTGCAACAAGCTTGATGCTCTGGGTGTGGTATTCAGTCCATCTTGAGAGCTGCCTTTCTGTTACTTCAATAGATATCACCTGAAGCCTTTTATCTACTCTCTCTCATAATCCACTACTAGAGGTAGAACATAAAAACAAATGCTATGTGGAGATGGCAGAAAAAGGTTCAGACAATTCTGGGAGATTTCTTTGGAAATAAAAATGTATACATATATTCAAGACATATAATTATACCTAGAAGAATACAAGGAAGGCATAATTACAGGATTGTGATAAGGCAACTTTCCAACTGCTGCAAAGCTCTTGAAAGGAACTAGTTCACACACTGACATCAGGTAACCTCTACGTTTCACGACGTTGCTACTTATTAAGTAAGTCAGTCTTGAAAATTCTACTGAACGGTCTGACAAACACTTGTGGTTACACACACGCCCCTTCTTGGATGATGACTCTTCCTTTGAAGTCACCTGTGTAAGGGCTGTGTTCTATACTTAGCAATTAATTTTCTCTTCTTCCTGTAGTATGAGGAGTTACGCTATCTGCAGCGACCTGCAGGTATCCCTTCCCAAACCCCCTTAGATTCTACCACATCCTGATTTTGAAACTTTAAAGATGCAACAGAAAGAAGGACAATGTCACTGACAGGACCATCCCCATCCAAACTGAGGCTCAGTCAGCATGGAACTGTTCTCTTTGTCCCCTTGAAAGTCTCTCAGGATGCTTACTAGGAGAAGTCACATCCACTTTTTTGACGCTTTAAGAATTTGAAGTGGTGGACTTCCTAACAGACCTATCTCCCAAAATGACTTCAGGTTCTCCTTAAGAACAATGTTAAGCTTTTACTAGGCCAAGATGGATGAAACCATTTCTTGCTAGTTCAGTCAACTGTGCTTGTTAAATTATGAGACCCAGTAAATGATCAGACCCAGCACAATTTTTCCACCTTTATTCCTTTGGAGAAAAAAAAAAACAAAACAAAAAAACCAGCAACAATTACAAAAACCCTCAACAAATAACCCACCCAAACCAAAACCAGAAGCATACATATTTAGGAAGTCATCTCCTATATACTGATGAAGTTACCTACAGTCTTAAGCTTCCTCTGTAAGTAAAATCAGCTTTTTAAAAACACACGTGCATACACACTGGTGAATTCCACAAACACCAGCCAAAGGCTATTAGAGGAGTCCTATTTCAAATGACAGAAATCTGGGAACATTGCAACTCCAAAACATATTGTTTTAAAATAGCTATCACAAATTCATCATTTCCCCCTTGAAAAGTCAGCAGAATTACAGTATTAATTCACAAGAGTAAATGCTCTTCTGTAATTAAATACTTTGATTTTTTTTCCATCAAGGTCCCTAATTTGTAACTCAATCAGGGGGTTGGAGGGGAAAAAGACCCCCTTCCCCACAAGTAACCATGAGCCAGTGAGGGAAGAAAGGTAGCTGTTTTATTTAACAGGAAAAATCACTGTCCTGTCTGATGGTCTGCTACTGTTAATACACTACCAGCTCACGGTACTGAGTCTTATCAGATGTGTTTAAAACTGTCCCTGGCACTGGATAGCACAACAGATAAATAACCTCACTGTTTCCTGAGCTTGCCTACTTCTTTGTATCTGTTTCTTAAACTTAGAATATTCTAAGGAATTGCTGATTATGATGAGGCTTCAGGTTGCCTGTCATTCCTTATCCTTGGCTATTGCATATTAGTAAACCCCCGACATTTATATGTGCACTTGGAACTGGATCATAGAAGAATAGTCAAGTGCAGAACAATCAGCCGTTTCAATATTAAAATTCTACGTGTATTGAAAATGAGGTTGTACCCTATGTTACAACTGGAGCACTGATAATGATTTTTGAGCATATATCCTATTTCAATCTATTTAACAAAGAAAAATATTAATTTCTCATTCAAAAGCAAAAGTGTGCAAAAAATGAAGCAGAAACTGGCTCATCTTAAGTTACCAATGCTTCAGAAACTCAAGTAAGTACAGGGACATCTCTTTGTGTGTCTGTGTATATATATAGACTTGATTAACATGCACAGAAGAGAGGAAAAAAAAAATCAATTTCAATATGAGTTTTCCGGGGGCTCACTATTCAATAGGCTATAAAAATACTGCAGTTCCAGCTCTTTAAATAAATGACAATTCAATTACATCTAAGTTGATGCAATGTATTTTGAAGGACTCAAGAACAAACTTTTTCTTTCACTCACTACAGATTTCGTATTATAGCAATTTAAACAACTGGCTCTTCAACAGACTTGGAAAGAAACTACAGTATTAACCACACAAGACTATAAAGCAAGTTCTTGCAAAAACATTCAATATTTAAGGTTTATTCAAAATTACCAGATGAAGATTCAGATTTCACCGTGTCTTCAATACTATTACACACTGTAATTTTTGGTACCGCATTTTTAGAGATGCTTCAGAATCTATTTTTAAGTAGCCCACCGTCCAGAGGGGGTAGCTAACAAAGCAAGAAGGATTGGATTTTTAGTATTACAAACTTGACGGATGCAAAACGTTTTAAAGCTCTGCTCCCTACTCCTCCTTGTAACTGTCAATATATAACTGCATATTAGACATCAGCAACAAAACTTACAGCGTTTCTCAGGCATATCACTGAAAAGCTGTACTAAGATTAAAACCCCCACAGATTCAGTTTAACTATTTCACCATTCCGATCGTCTTATTCGCACAAAACCCTCGCATATAGTTAATATTTTACGACAAATTTTCAGTGGCGGCAACATGTACCGCGCCAAAAGCGGGAGCCGTTTTCGCATTTCACGTCCCCTTTCAACATTCCGAAGGGATGCAACGCAAACACTTGGGCCGAGGCTGTCAAGCACAAAGAAACAAAAGCACTTCCATCAGGAACACTCAGTTAGTTCTGTCTGGGTGCTCCGCGCTGCGCTCCCGTGACCGCCCGTGCCGCTCCGCTCATGCCGCCGGCGGCAGCGACCGAGGCCGGGCGGGCACAGCGGTGACATCCGCAGGGGCGAAGCCACACATCAGAGCTGCACATCGCCCTGGGAATTACAGCGCTGCGCCGGCTCCGCCAGGGGATTCCGCCACGCGTGACGCCGCCACGGCTAATGCTCCTAACCTATTTTACTGCCCAGCACAACGAAACACCCGACTCACAGAACCACAGAATCAATGCGGCTGGAAAAAACCTCCGGGACCATGGAGCTCAGCCTAAGTCCGGGCCCGGTCCGGCACTCTGTGCGCACCTCGCTCCGCACCGGCGTCGGGCGCCGCCTCCTGCAGGGACCCAGCTCCGCGGAAGGGGGCCTGGCCTGGCCCGGCAGGCTTTGCCGGCGCTGCCGGCTCTCCCTCCCAGCCTCTCCGTGCGGGGCCCGGGGAAGGGCTCCCGGCAGGGCTCCGCCGCCGCGGCCCCGACACCCAGCACGTGACCCCGCGGGCGGGGCGGCGGGCGACACTCCCCACCCTCCCCGCCGCCAAAACAATACCGGGCAGGGCTCTGCCCTCTGGGCGGGCGGCCGCCTCTCGCTCGGCTCAGCCCAGCTCAGTCGGCCTTTTGTTCAGGGAACTCACCCGCGCAGGGAGGCCGCTACGCTCACTCCAGGTTCGGTCCGCACCCCGCCGGCGGCAGAGAGGTGAAGGGAGGCAGCGCCGCCCCGGCCCCGGGCGGCCGCGCAGGGGGCGCTGTCGGAGCGGCCTTTGGTGGCCGCCGCCGCCGCCACCGCCTCCCCCCGACCGCTCCAGCTCTAGCCCGCCCGCGGCGGCGCGAGGACTCACCCGCCGGGCCGGCCCGCGCCGCTCGGCTCAGCTCCGCTCGGCCCAGCTCCGCTCCGCCCGCCGCCACCTGCCGCTCCCTCCGGCCCCGCCGCCGGGACCGCGGGACGCGCCGACGTCACGCGCGGGCCGGGGCGGCCGAACGCGCCACTGTGACGCCGCCGCGGCGGGGGCGGGACCAGGCCCGGGGCGGGTCCGGCTCGCCGCGGGGGCGGGGCCGCGCGCGTGCTGCCGCGGGGAGGCCCCGCCCCGGCCCCGCGCCGGTGTCATGGCGATGTCATGGCGGCCCCGCGCGGCTCGGGCGGCGGCCGCGCTGTGGGGAAGGGGAAGGGGAACGGGAAGTGGAAGGGGAAGTACTCGGAGGCCCCTACGGGTCCCCTGCGGGAGAACCTGCCAAGCGCTCGGGACGGCCCCGCCTCACAGCTCGGGATCCACTTCCCGGACCCGCTGCCCAGGTTGTGCCGCCTTGTGGCGGCTGACCCTGGTTGGACGCCCGTTGCCCTCTAAAGTCGCCCTGGCATTGCTCTCCGCGCCTTGGCAGGGGAGGGGCAATATAACGAGAGGCTCGTGGGTCGAGATCTGGACAGGACGAGATCACTCACCAATTGCCGTCATGGGCAAAAGAATCTGGACGTGGAGTAATTAATTTAGTACCAGTCAAATCAGAGCAGGATCTTGACAAATAAACCCAAGTCTAAAAACACCATCCTTGCCTTCCCTTCTTTCCAGGCTGATCCTTGGCTTCTGACTCCTTTTGGGGCGCAGTCCTTCAGGAACAGCCTGCTCCAGCGGGTGTCCCCTCAGGGTCACAGGTCCTGCCAGCAAACCTGCTCTGCTGTGGGCTCCTCTCTCCATGGGCCCACAGACCCTGCCAGGAGCCTGCTCCAGCACAGGCTTCCCACAGGGTCACAGCCTCCTTTGGGCACCCCCTGCTCTGCCCTGGAGCCCTCCCTGGGCTCTGGGTGGATCTCTGCTCCCCATGGAGCTCCCTGGGCTCTGGGTGGATCTCTGCTCCCCATGGACCTCCCTGGGCTGCAGGGGTACAGCATCCACATGGTGTGCACCAGGGGCTGTAGGGGAATCTCTGCTCCGGTGCCTGGAGCACCTCCTCCTCCTCCTTTACTGGCCTTGGGGTCTGCAGAGTTGTTGCTCGCACTCTGATTCCATTCTTCAACTGAAGTTGTGCAGTGTTTTCCCCTTCTTAAACCTGTTATCCCAGAGGCGCTACCCCTGCCACTGACAGGCCAAGCATTGGCCAGCAGTGGGTCTATCCTGGAGCTGTCTGGCATTGGCTCTATCAGACACAGGGGAGCCTTCTGGGTGCTTCTCATTGTAGCCCTCTCCCCAAGCCTCTGCCACTACCAAAACCTTGCCACACAAACCAAATAGACCAGAGATGAAAGGTCTGGATGTGGGAGGTGGGAGCCTCAGTGGGTATATTCCCTGGAGCTTTCTCACCAGAAATAGTAGACAGGCATGCTTCCTTGGGATTTGTTGTTCAAATGGTAGCAATGCTAGGGGAGATGAACTTGCACAGCTCTGTCATGCTTGATTAATGTGAAGGCAGGTTGCAATTACCCCTATTCCCCCAATGAGGCCAGACAGTGGATTCGGCAGGAGGCAGGAACTTGCTGCCTTTCCAGGAGCATATTCTGCAGCTCAGGGAAACTGCAGCTCATTTTTTGCCTGAAAATTTAGGTGGTTTGACCTTTAGTCAGGCATGTGCCTCATGCTGCTGTGCATTGCCCAGACATGCTTGGGTGCTTGCAGAGTTTTGGCTGCTTTGGTGGTCACCCATAGGTGCAGATCGACCTAGGCAAGATCCAGATGTAGCAGGGCATCACACTATCCTACACCTGAGCTGCTCCTGTGGATTAGGTGCAGGGAGGAGACGTGTGCCACCTGCTGCTGTCAATTGAGAAGCCTGCTCTATTAATATTTTAATAAACTAGGATAGGAAACAATAATCCACACATCATTTAGGCTGAAATGGTATTCAGATGGGGGAGAGGGGGCTGTGCATCCGGGTACTCATTGCACCTAAATGGAAAACTATGTTTCAAGGTGCAAACTACCTACCCAAGGGCTTGTTAGAACTAAAGCTACAATTTGGCTGCTCTTTTTGATTTTTAAACCGGTGGAAATCACAAGCATCAGAAAACATAAGAGATGGAAACTCTAAAATTATTAAATTCTAAGTGTAGTCAGGAATACCAAAAGAAATGCATTTGGTTAAATCACTTATTATTTTCTAAAAGTCTAGAAAAGACTATCCAAAATTAGCACTGGTTTTAATAAATGTGACATATTTGCATCCAAGGACAAGCATTTATGTGGTAACCTATTGTTCTATTTAGATAGTTCTGTGTGAGGCTGACTCAAAAAATAGAGGTTAGGGAAAAGGAAAGGTCTCTTACTGGCAATGTGTGCTCAGCAACAATAGCCTTAATCCTTTACTGAACCAGACCTTGATCCTGTGGAAGCTATTGAGGCCAAATTCCTGTCGGTTTCTGATAGAATCTGACCTAAAAAAAGAAAGCAGGCTTGTGCTCTTAAGGGATCTAAAGAGTTCAGGCAAAGCTACTCTGACTGTGTGCAGCTTTGTAAGAAAGACAACACCTTGGGAAGACTGTACTTAGTAAAAAAAATCTGTGGCTGTGTATGGATAAGCTTGTGAGTTTTCACTGCAGCTGCAGATGGACTGAGAAAATATGCTTGTGAATGAAAGATTTTATTTTACACTCCATGAGTTATGGGACAAGCATGGAAATTAAAGGAATATCAGACAGTGCCAAAGATAGTAACCAAATGATTAAATGCATTGCACCTTACTGACTAAGGGAATAAGGAGCATGAAGGGGTATCTAGTTGAACAGTTTGCAATAAGGGGATCAGTTCCAGTAATATACCTTCTAAAATGTTCCCTACATGGTTATGAATCCTTATTACTAGCTCCTTTTCCAGTCAGAATGGGTATTATTTAAAGATCTTTTTTGGTGTTTCTATTTTGGCATGGACACAACCTATCCATTCCACTGATTGCTTTCTTTCTGCCTATTACTCTGTACCTTCCTGTTACCATTGAAGCCACCTCAATTGCACCTTTTCTACATCTACTTGCTTCACATTTCTCTTGTCTGCTATGCTTTTACTTGTGTATTTTTATTGTCTACAATGTCATCACTGTGAAATTTATGTCTTTTACTCACCACTAAATTATTAATTAATACCGTGGTTTGAAAAGTAAAGATGCGCCAGACTAATTCTTAAAATCACCACTTCCTCTGCTAAGTGTTTACAGTCCCACCATTAATATTTTGGTGACACTGTGATGGTGGAAAACTATTAATCCATATATGAGTGTTTCTATTTATAAAGCATTTTTTTTCTGCTTCTTCAAACCTATATGATACTATATAAACCTTTGCAGATGTGCCAATGTCTTACATTCCTCAAGAGCTCAATCCTTGCTGCACTTGGTGTAGCTGAGAGGGGAGAAAAACAGTTTCCTTCTGCTGTGGTTTTGAGTCAGTTTATATCAAAGCAGTTTGGGAAGTTGGTGTGGAGAACCTCAAAACTGCTGCAATTTAACACTATTGGCAAAAGAGTGGATGATGTGTGGTATCATGCCAATTCCACACTCCTGCACCTTCAGCAAATCCTCTGTAAAGACCAGAGATGAAAAGTTGGCAGTGCACTGCGCTTGTCTCTTCCATGCAGGGAGCCAGAGATGGGCTGAGAATCGAGTTAGAAAGTGTAAATGTGTAAATGTACTAAGACAAATCTTGATTTTGTTTGAGTGGCACGTTCCTTTATGAACCCCATGTTGCTTGTCACTCCCTGCGTTCCTTTTCCTCTAAGCTGTCCTAAAGCAGATCTCCATGAGCAGTGCCATTTTCACTGAAGTAATAAATGTCATGCAGTAATCAAAGACTAAGATACACAATTTTTCCAGGATTATTTCTTTTTACAAATTATATTTATAGTTTTTCACAGTCTAAGACACAAGCTTATCCCTTGTGCTGCAAGTGTTTCAAGATGGTGTCAGTGAGACAAAATGACATTCACTTGAACTCTCTTGAAATGCAATTGCAATTGTGCCAATGATGTATGAAATGTAA